CTTCCAATCAGTCGGCCAGACAGTTGTCTTCCAAATTTCTTGGCAGAGATGAGTGAGTGCCTCCTGTGCTGCCTCACTTTCCTGAAAGATTTCACCCTATACAGGGTGATAATAAATCAAAACCGACTACATATTGTTGTTGCTAAGTGCCATTGAGTCAATTTCTGGGAGTATGTAGTGAGATTAACAGCCGGCCTTGCAGTTAAAACCTACCTTGCAGTCCAGCTCGTTAACTCACAGTGCCACACTAGGACTCACACTCTCTCTCTTATATACGCTACACTCTGGTAGCGTAGTGGTTACGAATCAGGCTGTGAACTGCAAGGTCAGCAGTTCGAAACTACCAGTGATTCCGCAGGAGAAAGATGAGGTGTTCTGCTCCCATAAAGATTTACAGCCTCGGAAACCCTGTGCAGGGTCACTTATGAGTTGGAACCGACTCCACAGCACTTAACAACAACAACATATATGTCCTGGTGTGGCACTGTAGGTTAATGCGCCAGACTACAAAGCCGTTTGAACTGCAAGGCCGGCAGTTCAAACTCACCAGCTGCTCCTCAGAACCGTATACATGGTCGCTACAGGTCAGAACCGACTTGACAGCACTTCACAACAATATATATATATACACCAGCAGGGTCACCCATGGTGGACAGGTTTCGGCTGAACTTCGAGACTAAAGCAAACTAGGAAGAAGAAGAGGTACACTACATTCGAATATTTACTCACTGAAAATCTTATGAACAGCAGTGGAATCTTGTCAGAACTAGAGTATCAAATACTGAAACATAGTAAAGAATACCAGATTGCTGTGGGTTATGTTGTGTTATTGTTGTTAAGTGCCATAGAGTTGGTTCTGACTCATAGCAACCCTGTGTAGGGTTTCCAAGAAGTGGCTAGTGAACTTGAACCACTCACCTTGAGGTCCAGCGCATTAACCCATAGAGGCACACAAGGACTCCATTGTCAGCTATGGTGCTGGATAATGAGCCCCTCAGGTTGGAAGGCACTCAAAATACAACTGAGGAAGAGCTGCCTCCACAAAACAAGGCCAGGGGCAGACTGTGGAACAGACCATCAATTACTGATATGCAAATTCAAAATGAAGCTGAAGAAAATAAAAACAGATTCACGAGAGCCAAAATATTACCTTGAATATATCCCACCTGAATTTAGAGATCATCTGAAGAACAGATTTGATACATTAAACACTGA